ACAACATTCCAAGAGGCGTTTTCCTCAGAATGTACAGCGGTTCTGTCTATCTTCACTCAAGCACATGGAGGCACACTGATCTCTTGTTCGGAAATGACCTTATTGACTGGTTTGAGGTGAAGCTGAAAGAATGTAATGTCCCTCTTGTGGCATCTTCTACTAGGAATCACATGGCCTGGGTATAAATCTGAGAAAACTGTAGAGGCCAACACTAAGAACACTACGTCTTTACACTTAAAGTGACATGGACGGTGATGATCCCATCTACTAGTTAAATCCAATTTTGCCTGTCTCAAGTCATAGTACTTTTCAAGAGCTTAATAAAAGTTAGGTGTAACTGACAGAAATCAAGGCATGTCAAGTGATTTTGTTTAACGCATTGACAAAATGTTGAGCACTGTACTATTTCAGCTCTAGAAGGAACACACCCAGTGAACATGTTTACTGCTTAGCAAAAGACACCTCAATCTTCCCTGTCATCATGTGTAATTGCCTACAGTCTTCTTAAGAATGAGTTTTTGGCTGAAGCATCTACCAGACAAACCGCTTCACAACATTACCAAGGCAGCAAAAGCACTTCCTCAGACAGTATTTAGCTGACAACTGTTTCCACGTAGCACACAAATATAATAATAGATGGTGCTTTATTCTGAGTGCTTGAACTAATTTGTTTTTCCTCTTCACATCAGCACCTGTCTAAACACTGAGAGAAACTATTGTTCTCCAGTCCCCGCTGTGTCCGTCCATGACGGATCTATTGGAAAGGGTGCCTCTCTTCCTCAGAAATGTGTGTCAGATTCAATAGTGGACACGGCTGTGGTGAGGGTTGTGAAGATGTTTTTTGATGCTCTGCAGTGTAAAGAAAAAGGTTTGGGAGCATGCTGAGATAATTACAGCAGCACATTAGTGGAATGTTCTGACACCATCCAACTGCATTAACTTTTTACAACTTTTGGAAGTTCTTCAGAACAGCTAGATAGATAGATAGATAGATAGATACTGTACACTAAAGGCATGTTTGGAATAGCACAATTAAATTTCACAGCTGCAACTCCTTTCGCAGTAATACCAAACTACTCTTGAATTAAGCTATTGTTGTTTTATGAAAACAGAATTTGCATAAATAAATTATACACCTATAGGATCACTTAAACATGTCCTTTGATCTAACACTGAAGACTAACCAACCCAGTCAAATCAGTCTCGCCTCTCTAGTCATCCATGTGCTTAGGGTCTGTATGGACAATTGATGTTTACACTTTATACATCATCACAAAGAACATTATAATAAAACATCAAACTTTCATTGACATCCATAATCAAAAATTTAATTCCAAAATAGACTAAAAGAGACTTTTAAAAAGTAAAATAAATAAATAAATAATAATAATATACATCCTAATTATTAATTTATTGACGTATATATATATATATATATATATATATATATATATGTATTATTTATTATTGTATATAAACATAATGAAATGTGTTAAGAAAAGTTTTAGTTTTTCAAGTTTTTAAACACTTAATTTGTAAATAATTATACTTGCAAAGTTTCTCATAGCTCCAAAAAAATCACTTATTAAAATGAATGAAACACGCGCACTTACCCTCAAAATCAGACAATATCCCCTCCAGATGGTCATTGACTGAGATATCTGACATCCTGACTTCAGTCCAGGGAAAACTTCCAGCCTCAGTGGTATGCAATCACAAGAAATAAACTTTGCGAAAACAGTACAAAACCTCAAAAGATTTTCAAGCCGGCCAAAGTTTATCCGACGATTTTTGGGCTTGTGATGCAACAAAAAAAGTTGCGATTTTGGTGAGAGTCGTTTCTCATCTGAGAGCGCAGAGCAGAAACTCAGATTCAATAGAGAGCCGAAAGCAGACAACCCATCTGATAAACCTCCTCCTCCCTGTGAGTCCTGCCCCCTCACGAACAGAGTGGTGGGTAAAGTAACTCCTCATCCTTCACCCCACCCCGCGGCTACACCTGGAAAAGGTTTGCTACTTCTGTTCCGTTTCTGTTTGTTTGTGTGGAACATGCGTGGCCTGATAAAGGGAATAAGCCGAGAGAGAGAGAGAGAGAGAGAGAGAGAGAGAGAGGTTGGCGTCGGCCAAGTGCGGGTCATATTGCCACAATTGTACAAAGAAAAAAAATCAGCTGCACAAATTCAATGGCACACGAAACAGCAAAAGTGCAAAGTTAACAAACTGAAATATTAAGCCAGCTTTGGCCAACCAATACTGCAATGAATTCCAAATTTATAACATTTAATACAAATTTATGGAATGTGACAGCCTGCCTCCAAAACATCCCTGTCCTGAGAACATAGTTCATATACATACACACATATATAGGCTATACATATATATATATATAGGGCCCTATGAATTCAGTTTTTTTTTTTTTTTCCAAATTCCGTTTTTCTGGATTCCATTGTAATTTTTCTAGACTCTGTTTTAATGTTTAAATTAAATTGTATTGATCTAAAAGCATGTCTAATTAATGGAAATCATGAAACTTACACAATTTAACAACAATTTATTAAAAGTTTAACAAAAATTACATTTTCAAGGGCCTATGAAATGTTTTATTTTTACTCAAATTCATTTTTTTTCCATTAATTTTCTGGATTCCATTTGAATGGTTTCATTAAGTTTTAGTAATCAATAGCATTTCTAATCCCCCTCGGTAGAAATTGCGGACCAAAGGGGCACTTTAGCATCGGTGATTATA